GGTGAATTAAGAGAACGTAGTAGTCGTAGTCGTAGTCGTAGTTGTTATAATCGTAGTCGTATAGTCGGATAGTCGTATAGTCGTATAGTCGTCGTATACGTATAGTCGTATAGTCGTATAGTCGTATAGTCGAATAGTCGTATAGTCGTATAGTCGTATAGTCGTATAGTCGTATAGTCGTATAGTCGTATAGTCATATAGTCGTATAGTCGTATAGTCGTATAGTCGTAGTCGTATATGTCGTAGTCGTACAGTCGTAGTCGTAGTCGTAGTCGTAGTCGTATAGTCGTAGTCGTAGTCGTAGTCGTAGCAGTCGTAGTCGTAGTAGTCGTCGTCGTCGTAGTAGTAGTAGTAGTAGCAGTAGTAGTAGAAGTAGTAGTAGTAGTAGTAGGAGCAGCACCAGCAGCAGTAGCAGTAGCAGCAGCAGCAGCAGTAGCAGTAGCAGTAGCAGCAGCAGCAGCAGTAGTAGTAGTAGAAGTAGTAGTAGTAGTATAGTAGCAGCAGCAGCAGCAGTAGTAGTAGTACAGTAGTATTAGTCATAGTAATATTAGTAGTTGTCGTCGTATAGTCGTCGTAGCAGTAGTCGTAGCAGTAGTCGTAGTCGTAGTCGTATAGTCGTATAGTCGTATAGTCGTATAGTCGTATAGTCGTCGTCGTCGTCGCCGTCGTCGTCATCGTCGTCGGCGTCGGCGTCGGCGTCGGCGTCGGTGTCGGCGTCGGCGTCGGCGTCGGCGTCGGCGTCGTCGTCGTGGTCGTCGTCGTCGTGGTAGTAGTAGTGGTAGTAGTGGTAGTAGTGGTGGTAGTAGTAGTAGTAGTAGCAGCAGTAGCAGTAGCAGTAGCAGTAGCAGTAGCAGTAGCAGTAGTAGTAGCAGTAGCAGTAGTAGCAGCAGTAGTAGTAGTAGGAGTAGGAGTAGCAGTAGCAGTCGCAGTAGCAGTCGCAGTCGCAGTAGCAGTAGCAGTAGTAGCAGCAGTAGTAGTAGTAGTAGGAGTAGGAGTAGCAGTAGCAGTCGCAGTAGCAGTCGCAGTCGCAGTAGCAGTAGCAGTAGCAGTAGCAGTAGGAGTAGTAGTAGTAGTAGTGTAGTAGTAGTAGTAGTAGTAGTGGTAGTAGTAGCAGTAGTAGTAGTAGTGGTGGTAGTATTAGTATACTAGTAGTGGTTGGAGGAGCTGGTGGAAGAGGAGCTGGAAGTGGATGAGTGGCTGGAAGTGCCGTGACAACATATTTGCACTACTTAAGGGGGTATCGCTCTTCAAGGTTCCCTATCGCTCCCCACAGGAAATCACACATTTTTGAAGGTGACGGCGGCCGAATACAACATCTCTACATAGCATCTTTTGACCCTTGCTCAAATATATATATATATATGCATATATATATATATAGATATACTGATATTTTGATAGTATATGGTGTATGTATATATAATTCTAAATACGTATAAAGATCTCACACGACCAACCTGTGCTACCTCGCATATGGCCATGGCATCATTATCTTGTCTGAAGTCAGGGAGAGCTTCTGTCTCAATACAAACTGCTATCTCGCAAGGAAGAAGACTTAACGTGTGCAGCTTGCAAAGCAAATAGCAACACAATACAATTGTTGATCGTTGACCCGATCATCGATCCTTCAATTACTGGCACCGAACTATTCGGATGATTTTGCCAACAAGAATCATGTAACATGTTGCGCATCAACCCACCCATTTCCAGAAGTGTCTCCCATCTTGCCAACAGGCCTACGGTGGCATTTGCAACGTTGATGTAACCGACTTCACAACCGCAGTCCGTGAAGGACAACGAGCCCCTCTGAAGTGTGCGACTGTTGTCTGGGCACCTAGGAGGGAGAGGTATTGTCAAGTCAACGCTATAGACAATCTTTCCACTAGTACACTTTTTGTAGCACTTGTTTGATCTTTTTTGCGACGCCGTGAGAAGCATTGGCAAGTTGAAACTTCAAAGACACAGCAGGCTGTGATTTCCCTGTAAATGGTGAAAAATTGAAAAATGGTATATAACGTGTCTCCAAGGCGCTTTTTGCAAATGGGGCCTCTTTCTTCGTCCTGGTAGTAACCCACATCGCATCGCTTGCACGTTTGCTGACCAGTCAGATCTTGGTACTCGCCCTTCAGACATGGCTCGCAGGCTAAGGTTGCTCCAGAAGGTTGGCTTGTACCTGCATGATGAGGATGGTGGCAAAATGAAGCGAAAGAAGGTCCCAAATAAGGCACAGAGCCTTGCACCATTGCAACCCCCTTCGAATAAGGATGGTCCATCCCCTTTGATTCATGGAAGGTGGATTGCTGTGTTCAGAGACCATGCTTATGAGAATCTAACGGTGGATATCCGATCTGTAACATGTTAAAATAAAATGCTGGACTGTGGTGCCCTTAAAAGCGTTTGAAATGGTTCCGGCTTTCAACAAACCAGAAACTATGACGTGAAAGCCTTTTCAAGCTGTTTTTGCGAAAATCATTGATTTGAGAAAGCCCCTTGTTTATGGATGCGGAAGTGCGCTGATTTTCCAAATGAATGTCTGGTACCTTCAAGCTTCCTCCCCTTTTTCCATGTGGACCAAAGGGGTGTCAAACAAAACTTGCCATGATTCGACTCCAAAACGTCGGCCTTGAACCAAACCTTCGAATCCAAGACCGGCATTTTGCCGGTTTCTTGCATACAACAGAACATATCCATAAAACATATCAAATCCGCCGGCCTGCCTGTTCTTGTTTCTGTTCTTGGTTTGTACTTGTTTCTGTTCTTGGCTTGTACTTGTTCCTTTGTTCTCTTGCTGTGCGTTCCATTGGTTGTTCAAGCACGCACTTGCTACTCAAGCTGCTTCTGATCTACGGCTCTGTCTTCGTCTCTTCTTCTCTTAAGCTTCCACCCAGCGTGCACGTCAACCTCCCTTGGGGCAATCTCTCTCCCCTATCTCCTTGCATGCAGCGGTCTGCTGTCAAGACAGAGGCTCATACATAGTACCTGGCGCTACTTTGCTGGGGGCGGTACTAATTTGGCATACGGTCTAAGAATAGGTTGTTACAGCAAACCTTGCTACACAAGCCCCTTCCGGTTTACGGCTTTGTCTTTGTCTTCCTTTCTTATTCTTGTTACTCTTCTTGTTCTTCTTATTCTTTTTATTATTCTTCTCCTTCTTTTCTCTTCTGCTCTCTCGCGGGCCTCCACCTAGAATGCACATCAAACTCCCTTGGGGTCACCTCTCTATGGCCAGCGGACTTGCCGAAGGCAATTAAATAAAACATGTGTCTTACGTTTGGGGTACTGGGGTTGCCTCATTTTGGAATGGAAATTTCCAGGGGGATAGTTTTGCAATGTGGGTGCTTTGCGCTACATGAGATGTCAGGAAGGAAGCTATCGCTATTAGCGGCTAATATAGCATTGCTCTCGACTCTTGACGCAAGGTCCCGCGCATCCTTTTTCGATCTTTTCCCCCTCTATGACAATTGAACAAATTTTGACCAGATTTGACAAGTATGTTTCGAAGAACAATGTGGTGGAGTTTTCTGTTTTCTCTCTTTGTAAATGTCACTTCATGCCTTCTTCCCATCCTATGTGCACACAGCCCTATGCAAATGTATCGCAATTATTTGGGAACCCTATGTTTAGAAACTAGGTGCAAGGGAAACCTTGTTCTTGGGTTTCTTTGGGTTTCTTAAGCCTTAGAACCCTTAGAATCGCATCCTTGGGAACATCTGCCTCTCGTCGCATCTCTTTGCCATATTCTTGGAAACCAGGTATGGATAAATACATGTCCGGTGATAGGTTCTTCCTCGGCACTCTTTCGTTAAGGAATGTCATGCTGGCTAGGCTAGGGAACCTTGCAAGTAGGCCCTCATCTATCAAAACCATATTGCGGAACCTTGTGTTTGGAAGGGTTGTTTGGGAACCTGGTTCTGAGGGACCTTGGTCATGGAAAAGCTTGTCCACATCCTTATTTTGGTAAACCTTGTTCTTGTGCACCTTGTACTTGGGTTCAACCCTGTTTTTGGGAACTTCGCGACACCAGGATCAGGACCCTTGATGCAGTGTCAGGAATGAATCTTTGTATTGGAAACTTTATGTTAGGAAGCTTCGCTTTGGGAAACTATGCACAGTATCTGAGACTCTCTTGGCATTGTTGTCTCAGGGATCCCTGTGTTACAAGATCTTGTTTTTTGGTCACCTTATTTTTGATCAACTTCTAAATAATAGTTGGGAACATTGTCTTTGACACTTTGTGTTGTCTTTGAGGAGCCTGCGTTCAGGAACCTGGTGGGAACCTTGTCTTTGGGGAGTCCTGCGAGAATCTGGTTTCTTGCTGCTCCAGACCTGCTCCGAAACCTGTACATGGCTGAATCCCGGAAACATACCTTGCTTGAGAACCTTGCCTTCGCATCTTCCCTCAGAGCCTTGCTTTACCTGGAACCTCGCCTGGGACCCTTTGCTTCGGCACCTTGCCTGAAAACTGTTGTTCAGAACTTTGCCTCGGAACCATTTCTTGCCGCTAAACCTGATCCGGTGGAAATCGAAAATCTGGTTTGGGTATTCTTAACGCGGTAGCACCGAGTTCCGAAACATGGCTTCCGGCCTGCAGGACAGGCCTCACAAATGTAGGTTGTCCCATCGTCATCGGAGAGCTGTTTGGAATACATCCCGCTGGGGCAAGCCCGGCACTGGCAAACGCAAGCAGGCGGCTAAAATGAGGCCATTCCATGAAGTGATTTCAAATTCGATCTTGGTGGTGAAAGGGGATCTATAAGGCTTTATTGCCTAACCTCGATGCGTGTAGATTGGTTCCAAAGTTTCCCAGCTTTGGTCGCCAACGCTGCTACTTCAAACCCTTCTTGCTGGGACTTTCTCGCATGATTAAGGAAGTTTTGCCTATCTTTCTTGGGCTTCTGAGCCCCTTCTCCAGAAGAGAAACAGATCAAAGCAAATTATATAACTTACTGTAAATGGTGTTCTGCTTTCAAGTTTGGGATTCTATCAATCCATGTTCGGGCCAAACATTGCGAAACGGTGCTGGTACAACAACAGCTTGGCCACGTCTGATCTGTAAAGCTTTCCGCCAAGGAAGGAGTCAATCAAGAGGCAAACTGTTTTCCTGAGACATGTGACCTAATCTGGGTCAAGGCGCAAGGATGTGAAAGGTGTGGAAGGTCGAACTAAACCATGCCAAACCAAACTTGATCACAAACAATCGTCCAGCCTGAGGCCCTCTTTGTCGTCTCGATTGGACACAAACTGCTCAGTGATCTCGTCGAACATACCGAACTTTGGGAAACAGGTGCTGTCATCAGGCATCCAGCTCGACCTCGCGTTCAAGTTGAAGAAGCATTCTGGCACAGCAGAAATCACTACCATGCAGTAACTAGGTAGCGAGACTTCAATTTCGAAGAATCACTGGGGAGGGGTGGCTGGTGGCCATATTATCTTTCCTGTCTCCATTTTAGTCCCTGTCGGCCCAGTCATGCCTCAAGAAACAGGTCATGTCAATTTGAACAATTAGGCTAGTCACGGCTAGTCTATTGTGATGACAAGTTGCCAGATCTGCGGATTGTTCTGCAGCCAGCGGCACATCACAGGCTCCCATTCTTCGCCTGGCAACCACCCTCTGAATCGTGGCGTGATACCGCTGTACAGGCTATACATGAAACCTTCGCTGGCATTGAACGTGTGTTTGCAGAACCCCCCGTGGAAAACATTTTGTGAATCACACAGCTACCTGATGTCTTCTGGTCCAGCATCATCGCGTTGATCGTGTCCATGTCGATCTGGATGTTATCCAGAAAGCCAACAAGTCGTGGGGCTAGAGCGCTCAAGTCGTGGCTCACGATCTTACCAATGAACACACCAAGGGCTGCTGTTGAAATGTCACCTTGTTCCCACGCTTGCTTGTCGTGAGCTGGAAATTTAGTCATCACAGGAGACATCTCCAAGAAGGTAGGATCTGGGGTCCACCTTGACATGCAGAAAAAATCGGAAAAATGCGTCAGACCACTTGGTGCGGAACTTGTTCCCTTTCCTTTACTCTCGGTCTTACTCAGAGAATTCTGAGTGTTTCACTGCTGGACTTTAAATTCTGAACTTGGCAGAATGTTGTCTTCTCATTACTGTAAATGAAAGCTGCGCCGATTGATTCTAACAAAAAATGGCACAAGTAGGTTTAACAATGTTTAAAAAAGAAAGTGCGCACTGCTTCCAGTGTTCCAGTCTCAATGAGAAATGGGACCTAGTGACCCAGTACCCCCACATGTAGGGGTCATGAGAGCCTGTTGGAATTAGTTGACAGCCACCAGTTGAATGTCCGTAGCGCTTGGCGATCTTAGTGCTTGGGAATGATAAAACTTAAAACAAAACCATCCAAGTCATCCGTCGAGACGCCAATAGAACATGCTCTTTTTCGTGTTGGCCACACTCACGAAATCACCCCAAGTCGCACCAACTCCGAAGGCTAATGGAATATTCCACCTCGTTGCCCTCTGCAACACACCGCTCAAACCATAGCCGCCTCCACCAGTGATATACAGGACGCATTTCGTGGGGTCGCTGCGGCATGAAGGAGAGAGCCAGAAGTAGCCATCACCGGGGCATTTTCCTACCACTTTTCCATCGGGTTGAACCACAACTCCATCAGTGTCGCCCGAGGCACTCAGGTACGCTGACATCATCAGATCGTTGTACAAGTTGGTGTCGGCACAAGGCTTCAACATAGACCTGTTCACTGCACTCGGCTGGTCGAAGTAAAGCCTCAGTCCCATGACAATGAACAATGGTTTGCGGTGATTTTCATTTTTTCGACTGATTGAACCCCAAATGCATGGCGTGCTGGTTTGCCAAGTTTCCCTGGCTGCTTCCATGTAGCATCAAAGCCTTGAAGGCAGGACCATGACAGATCAAATTGCAATATACCGAAACATACCGAAAAAGTGTTCAAAATCACAAACACCCACACGGTGCAAAACATGCAAAATGCAGGTGCTACAAGAAAATGGGCTAAGCAACCAGTCCAATAGTCCAAGGCCAGACCTTCGGTCTCGTAGGCTGCACTCAGTTCCCTGCTACTGAAGTACATATCTTCAGTACCTTCGTATCCTGAAGCCCGCCGCAGAGGTCCAGGGAGGACTGGAAAGATGGCACAGGATGGGGGTGTTTAGGGTTTGTGCCACGCAATGAAACCGAATTGTGTTTATTCAGATTTTGGGGCCATTGGCATCTAGTGTTGGATGGTGTTAGTGCTCGTGCAGATGTAGAAAAAACGGCGAATATAAAACATATCAAATTCTGATCCTCGCACTCAGCGACAAGCTTCCCATGCTGCCCAAGAGTTTTGGCGGAGTTGCGAACGTCTGAGTTTGCGCCCAGACCGCAGGATAGTTTCCATACCATGTTTCCATCTGCAAATGTTGGTATGTGACCTGGGATTCAGCGTAACAAACGCTTCCCGTTTTTGCAGTCTGCATGCAGAGAAAATGGACAGATGAGACACAAGTCCAAAATCATGCTGCCCAAGGCCCCCACAGCATGATGGGAAACAAACATACGCCCAGGAACGAAAGCCCGGAGACGCAAACAAAATTATGCGGTCCAGGCGTGAAACCGCTTCAACTAAGTAAGAACCCCATACAGGTAAACCTGTTTCAGCAATCATATGTTGTTGCTTTTGAAATATTTACAGCAAGATGTGATATGTTACTTATATACTATCCGCCGACCCCGGCTGACAGCAAGGGGAAGCACGCCAGGGAGTAAGAGTTTCTTTGGCAACAACAACCAAAAAAACAACAAGTAATGACAAGCAATGTTTCTGTCCAAGAGATTGCGGTTGTTGACCCGGTGAGAGAAAACGGCCAAAAAATGCCGAGAATATGGCAGGTGTAAAGCAGATACTGGTTCAATACCAATCATGGGTTGATGGCAAAAGCCGGTGAATTGGTGAGCCAGTGGGTAATCTTTTCGCTAGAATTCAGAAGGGACGTTAGGCCTCGTCGACTGCCACTTAGGCTGCCATGGTGCTTTCTTGTCCGGAAGGAACGTTTTTGGAAGTGAAAAAAAGATGGTTGCCGAAAATGGGAGGTGAAAGACAAATATTGTTTGAAGGCAATATCAACCAGTGGCGGCAAAAAGCCGATGGATAGATTGGTGAAGTGGAAAGTTGAGCAGAAGTCAGAACAGTTCCGCCCTTCACTGCTATGGTGTTTTCCGGTCAGGGAGGTACGTATTTTGAGCTGATGACAGAGAAATGCTACAAGTATAGTTGAATAAACACTTTGTAGCTGGCCGTTTTGGTTGAATGGTGTAAAAGCAATAGTCTTTGATGGTTATATCGAGCATTCGCTCAAAAAAACATGGGTTGGTGAGCCGATGGGTAAGTAACTGACTAGAAATCACCACGACAACAACAACTACTACAAGAAACAACAAACTGTTACCATAAATACATAACACGAAGAATATTGATGCTATATATTTCTTCTACAACGGCAGCAATTTTATTGAAAAGACACGTTCCGTTCCCCAACGTCACTTACAACATAGTTCCTAACATAACTGCTGGCCATACGTCAGAGTGGCACAAAAAGGCACCTTTTTAAGATGCTAAGTTTTTAATTATAACATACGTATATATATATATATATGTATACGTACTTTTCACCCACAGACTTTTCACCCATACACTTTTCACCCACCGACTTTTCACCTATAGACTTTTCACCCATATACCCATATACGTTTCACCCATATACTCTTTGAATGCGGGCCAGGGGGGAATTGATACCCCGCCGTCACCCATGCACCATGACACGCAAAAACGACCAAAGGGCACACCCTCATCACCACCTATTTACATCTATTTACGATTTTTTTACACGCTCGTCACGCACTACCCCCCGGACTCCCTAATCCCACTTCGTTCGCATTGGACAACTTTAGCCTAGCCTTTGGCTGGCTTTCGTAATGGTATGTACGTCTTGTTTTTGGTGACGGAGCCTCTTGTTTTGCCAGACTGTTGTCACATTTGTATTGTGGGGTGGGGGGTGGAGGATTGGGGTGGTGGGTGGGCAGCGAGAACGTTCCTGCCTACATGCACACAGACACATACACACACAGAGTAGATCTTTTCTTGCACTTGCACAGACACACACACACACACTGGATGCTACGTCACAGCATCTTCTCTTGCACGTGCACACACCCACACACTGGATGCTACGTCATAGGATCTTCTTTTGCACTTGCCCACACTGGATGCTACGTCATAGGATCTTCTCTTGCACTTACACACACTGGATGCTACGGCGTAAGATCTTCTCTAGCACTTGCACACACATTGGATGCTACACACAGTGGGTGCTAGTCATAGGATCTGGCGCTTCTCATAAAAATCAGAAATAAAGATGACTTGCGGATTGCGCCGTGATCAACGATCCTTTTTCAACACAGACGAAAGCTCCGCAAATCCACAGGCGCCGCAACCTTTTCGGTCCTCGTGACTGTGCAAAATACTTGCCATTACAAGTTATTTTCGTCTCTTCGTTTGCAATGTTCTGCTATTTACACGTTCTTCGCATTCTTGAAAAAGAGGCGAGGCAAACAAATTGAACAAAGCGTTCCCGACTGCCCCCCAAAAAAAGGTTGAACACCGCATTCAGGGGCTAACATGGACTTCTCATTTTTGGACAAAAAACGAGCACCGAAGTATAACTACCAACATGGCACATCTAAAGAATCACACCCCAGCATGCATGGGGGTCTGCCACCCTCTAAAAGACCATTACCCAGACAATCAATCACAAAAAGCTAGAAGTTACTTTCTTCGAGTGATCCCCACCAACTGACATTCTACCTGCATATATTCGAAATCTTATTCTTACACTCTGTCTGGCATTCTTTCTGGCATTCTATCTGACATATATTCTGGCATCCTATCTGGCATTCTACTAGACACATATTTTGGCATCAGACCTGGCATTCTATCTGGCAAATATTTGGGCATTCTAGCATTTCATCTGGCATTCTATCTGACGTTTTATCCCGCATTCTTTCTGGGATTCCAGCCGACATATATTATAATTTCCATCTGGCGTTCGGTCTGACATCTCATCTGGCAGTCCACCCGACCCTCTTTCTGGCATGTTTACTCGCATTCTATCTGGCATATATTCCCACATTCTATCTGGCATTTTATCTTACACATATTTGACGTTCTATCTGCCATTCAATCTGACACATATTCCGACAGTCTATCTGGCATTCTACCTGACACATATTCTGACATTCTTTCTGGCATTCTATCGGGCCTTCTATTTGACAGTTCATACATTTCACCTGGCATTCTGCGTTACACATATTCTGACATTCTATCTGGCATTCTACCTGACATACTTTTTGACATTCCATCAAGCATTCTTTCTGACATGTTATTTGGCATCATGGCATTCTTTCTGGCATCTATTCTGACGTCCTATCTGACGTGCTATCTCAGGCTGATCTAGGGTTCGGCCCAGCTCATAGGCCCAACAACAACGCCCCAGCCAGCATATCCCCAACATGGCGCAAGATGGCTTCAACAAGCCCTAACGTGGCCCATCTTGTTGGGCACAAGATGGGCTCCACATGGCCCCAACGTGGCCCTACCATGGCTTGAACACATCTTCGCCGTACCCAGGTGTGATAGAATACCCTATGTTTTACAAGACATTTTGGCTGTTTTGGGCCACTCATCCTTCGAAGGAAGCCAGCGTGGCCTCAACATCGCCCCCCAACATGGCCCCAACGACTAACAACAACGCCCCCTCCTTTTCCAAGGCATAGGCCCTTAAAAATGTAGTATTATGCGCAGTATTACGATATATATGATCATATCTGTGTGTGTATACGTATGCACTTGCGCCTGCGTCTGCGTCTGTGTGTGCGTGTGTTCACAAGCATACAGAAATACAAACCCTCAAAAGTATGAACAATTTTGCGCTCACCGCGGCCCGAAGTAGTGCCACTACACGGTCGCATTTTAGGATACTTGCACCAGTAGGGCGCACTCGGCGAACCAGGCCATCACCGACCATCATTCAGCCAACCAGCCAGTGAATAAACAAACCAACCAGCCAATCAGTCAACCAATCAACCAATCCACTGACCAATCCAAGAGCGAACCCCCAAAGACACATCAAGTCATACCCACTCCCACAATAGGCGTTGAAGCTGTTTGGCAATTATGCGCGTACTGGCGTGCTGACATGTAGATACACATTGGCCTGACACTAGCCACCTAAATTGCAACAAAGATCCTACTCACGGAACTAAAGCCCTGCAGGATCAAACCGAACCAAAAAGAAGGACACAATCCCTGGCGATCGTCGCTCAATATCCAAGCCACACTTGGCCCTTCAGGGCCACAGCCCCGGTCAGAAGAATTGTTCGGGGTCAAGCAGCCCGCCACCGAGAAAAACGCTTCAACCTGCCCGGTGACGATGCTGTACGTGACATTGATGCCCAGCAGGTCCTGCCATGGCAGACTGCAGCATGAAATGCTTCTGGGCAACGGTTTGGGCTTGCGAAGCATCAGTTTGATGCGCTCACAACTTCACTCTGCGCCAACTGCTGGGCGTGAGACATCCAGTTTCGCAGTAGGAATACCTTCTACTTCCACACTGAGCACATCCGTCGTACAGTTCAAGAACATTCTTAATGCTTGTCTACCTCATCCCACCTGCCACAGAACAGGTCTTCTACAAAGCTATTGCCAGCCTGGATCAAGATGCCAGCCATGTAGCTTGTGGCGTAGGAAGCAGCCCATGCTGGAACCGTGATGCCCCTTAAATGCTCCCAGCTGGTTGACAGTAGAAACCATGGCAGCAACATGCAGTAACCAAATCAATGTGGAACACCAAATCAGGATATGACATGATGGATATGTCAAGTGAGGTGGATGGTGTTCGCAAGTCAAGAGTAGATCAGAACCTAGTTGATCCCAACACGGGCAACTGAGCTTGCTCCACTTTTGACTTAAGAAAAGATCAGAAAAGGTGCCTATAGTGTTGCCTTACAATCCGTTTCGCTTTCCATGTTTTCCGTGCTTTCCATGCCCCCGTCGAGAAGGTCTAGCGGCACCCATATTTCAAATAAAAATTAAAAAAGAAAACCTCTCCAGCATCAAGCGGATACTGCACTGAAATCCGCTGATCCAAACGTTCCTGTCATTTCCTGTCCCAGTAGCAGAGGATAGGACTCGCCAGTCTCGGGATTCACCTTCGGTGGAGCTGTGGAGCTTGGGTTGAAGATATTGGCCAAGTGTCTAACCCTTGTCACAACAATGCAGAACACAGGCAAAGCCCCAAGCTTATGTGCCATGATGGGTCTAAATCCAATCATGTTGGCGTTAGGGCCACTTTTTGCCAGAAACATCGGGATGATGTGATTTATTTGATCATCTTGTCAGCTGGAAGTTGGGACCGGCTATACACCCAACCCAATATGGTCGCGGATGTGAAAACTCAAAGTGTTTACATTTCGGCGCTTTGATGTTTTGGTGGTGTTTGAGGGTGTTTGTTTTGGGTAGCAAACATTCACAACTAATCATTTTACCAGGCTCCTAGACAAGGGAGGGTTAAGATGCGCCGGAAATCTTGGGGCCCGCTTGAAACATCTTGAGACAGGATAGAAAGCAACCCTGCCCAAAATCCACCGGCCGAACATATTCTGGAGCATCTAAGTAGCAAGGTTTTTGCGCAGCGACGGATGAGTGCCATTTCCCAAGCACTGGGCAACGGCCGCTGGCGCCAACAAGCCTCGAGCTGCACAATGCCGGCGCAAACGAATACAGGTGTCATTTCATGTCAGGTAACCATATTGAAATGTAAAACCTCGTAATCACCCTCAAGTGCTCAAAACTCCAGAGTTTTTAGAGGTTGGGATCACACATCAACATCACAACCTTATGGCCCTGGGCGAGTTTCGCGGAAGGGAATCAAGTAGCCATGCTAAGTCCTGCCCAAGACTTGCCTGCACCAGTGCTAATATGTTTGTGTTACCTTCATCTGGTACCGCCACAGCTGCTTCCAACTGCGCCGTTGCTGTGTCAATACGCATGGCAGCAGGTGCTGTCTACTCCACTGGGGTGCAAGCAATGACAGAACAAGGTTGAAACAACGTACAAAGGGATGTCATTAAAATAACCTGGGCCTCACCTTATGAAAAAATGCAAGAATGGTTTGCAATCACTTGCTCAAAAACACAAACGGTGAGAAAAAAAGACTGGCTGACAAACCCGTTTGGCAATGCCCTTGGGTCGAATGCAGCCCAAGAACAAAATTGAATTATGCAGCGTCTTGCAGCATCATGAAGACATTTTGAGCACTGCAGATCGCACATTTCGGAACTGACAAGGTATTGCAAAATAGTGCAAGACTCTGGCATGGTAGTGAAACCCCTCCATTCTCTTATCAGCTTGAAAAACGTAATATGCATGGGCACTGGATAACCTACAGTGTCCTAAGTGTTCCACGCGTGTATACTTATAGAAGCTGCGCAGTTGTCAGAAAAACAAAGAAAGACATGTTTTGTGGATTGCAGTGACCCCAGAGGCACACAGACACACACACACAGCAGTTTGGGGGGTAACAGAACCTATTTTTGCTTCCTTGTCCACTCCTCAGGAACTCCTGATCTAGGTCATCCAGAATGTAGGGTAGTTGGCATGCACACATACAACTGATGGTGGCGTTCTGATCAAGAACTGAATTAGAACTCCGAATTGGACTTGAATCTCACTACAATGCAGAAACACTGCACAGCTGAAAAAACAACATGTTGGGTTTCCCGGGGGGGTTTGCCGTGAGTCGGAATGAGTTTGCAGAAGGGTAACATATGTTAAGATCATGTATGTCCATCCGCAGCCGTTTAGTAGGAGGAAATTTCATGGTATTTTCAATGTTTTTCATTGGTTTCACATGAGCATTTGCAAGATGTTTGCATGATCAGGGATGTTTGTTTGAACCAGGTTCATGTTTGGCGAACATGTCTTTTTCGCGGGATCCCGCGGAAAAAATAGCATGATTTTTGAACTTGAGATTTGTTGGAAAGAGAAATAAAGTTGTGTGTTTTTTTGAACATCATAATTAGACTTCTTTCGGAGCCATGTTGAGTTTCGATGATTTGTTCGAATGTTTGGTGCTATTGATCGCGTGCCGCATGAGTGGCAATTTTTCGTGGCAGATTGCCGTTCTTCATTGATCCTAGCGTAGCATGACGTATGTGTGGAAGTGCAAGAGGACCTAGCAGTAGCGTAGCATGACGTATGTGCGGAAGTACAAGAGAATATAGCAGTCGCAATGAACGTTAACATCTCCCCCACCTGGTCACGAGCTCAGAAACCTTGTTTGCTTCGGCAAACCCCTACGGTTGACCCAACATGTTGTCCAATTTGGTTCGCAGGTACACCGATATAAATGTCAAATGCTGCAACCTCTTCATTGGGCTGGAACCATTGACAACCACCCACACACACATACATACATACATACATACATACATACATACATACGTACACATACACACACACACTTGAACAGTCAGCACAGACAAGCTTCAAGCTCTCGACTTATGCATCACTGCTATATTTTGTCAATGTTGCTGCTGTTTGGATCTCATCCCGCGGGTCTCCCTTGACTGGTTTACCTAGACAGCTCAGTTATCCAAGACATCTGTCAGATTAACTGTTTCGAGGATCGCGCTGCTGCTCACTGCCACATCAGCGCAAAGCTTGAAGGGTCTTAGACCCAGAAATCTTGCATACCACCAAGAGGTTCTAGCACTTGAAATCAACAGTTTCTTCGCAGGTACGTCAGCTCGACACCCCAAAGTGATTTCACCAGCACACATCCAGTGTCTTCATTGGTGCACGAATGGATGGGCTGCTCGCACCCCCTGCCGACATTTCCGCACATGTTTAGTTACCAACTCTTAGGGACAGAGTTTGATACACACACACACGCTCAGACTTGTCTTATCGAATTGTGATGTGGAATGCATCGGACGTGCAACAATGTGCAACACACACTCCATTAAATCCTGATCAGAGAAGAAATTGGAGTTGGGAGCTGACCCTTCCCTTTCGAGTTCTAAATAGATGCCAAATAAGTCGTCGGAGTTACCATCGCCATAGCCAGTGTAAGTTGCCTAAGTGAAGCTTGATTTCAGATATCGAAAAATGACTTAGACATGAAGTTTACCGCAGTCTCAGATTGTGCCAACTGTGCGAGAATGAAAAAAGAGTTTGAAACCTTTGTGACATGTTTGTTGAAAAACAGCGAGGTGGTTCTTGGGTTAGCCACTGCCCATCACAGAAATTTGACATGAAAATTGATGCAGGTACGTCGATCCAGCGTCCCGGATCGATATCACAGAATGTCATAGCCGTCTTTGTTGGCTGCAGAACTATGACATTCCCTGCAGCCCCCCGCAACTAAGAAAAATCAAGGTACAGGTTTTACATCTATTGCAATGTTTCACACACACGCCACGCAGCAGCGGGGCATCTCAGGCTCCGACAAATGAGATGAAGGTGGAGAAGAAAGGGAGATGGAGATGAGATGACGATGAAAATGAGATGACAAACTACTTAATCGGGACACGAGACGGGGACGTAAAAGAGGAAAGGCAAAAAGGAAAAACACCAACACCAACACGCCTAGCCCAGAGCGGGCAAACCCTGAAAGGGCAAGGGAAAAGAGCGGGAAAAGAGCGAGCGGACGGACGACACGCCAAACACCGACCAGAGGAGGGGGGGACAGAAGTGCTTGACACAACCTACAAGGCGAGAGCCAAACCTACCTCGGCACGCGAAGGAGCCAAACCTGACCTAGAGAGGGAGCATGCATGAGATAGGGGACCAATGGGGAACTCGTTAATGAAAATGATGCATCCACATGCTCATGCAAGGATCGTGATAAGGCTCAAGGCCCTGGGTAGTCATTTCAACCCTATGAACGGCTGTCAGTAATCCCCAGCTGAATTAGGTGCACAATTGAACCTCACAAAGGACCAAAAAATGAAAAAGGGAAAAAGTCATCATACTTGAAGGCATGTACCTGCCTGAGACCGTCAACATGTTGCCATGACAGCAGTCTGTCTCTCGAGCAACGTCGAAGAAAAGGGAGGTTTACACTTTACACGGCTGACAAAAGGAATTGAAGCCCGGTACTGCAGCCAGTTGTTCAACCAGCGACAAACGACAGGGTGAAAAGCGAAAGAAAGTGAAGCCCGGTACTGCGGCCAGTTGTTCAACCAACGACAAACGACAGGGTGAAGAGTAAAAAAGGTCAACTGTTCCACTTTACTTGGACGAATTCCCAGGTTGAAAATTGTAAATTCAGAGTTAGATCGGCGGTTCCCATTTCCTACCTAGAAAGGTCTTCCCCGAAGGGCTCATGTCATCCTGTCGAATCCGACATGAGTCACACACTTGCTCAGACTTGTCTTATCGAATTGTGATGTGGAATGCATCGGACGTGCAACAATGTGCAACACACACTCCATTAAATCCTGATCGGAGAAGAAATTGGAGTTGGGAGCCGACCCTTCGCTTTCGAGTTCTAAATAGATGCCAAATAAGTTGTCGGAGTTACCATCGCCATAGCCAGTGTAAGTTGCCAAAGCCTAAGTGAAGCTTGATTTCAGATATCGGAAATAAATTAGACATGAAGTTTACCGCAGTCTCAGATTGCGCCAACTGTGCGAGAATGAAAAAAGAGTTTGAAACCTCTGTGACATGTTTGTTGAAAAACAGCGAGGTGGTTCTTGGGTTAGCCACTGCCCATCACAGAAATTTGTCATGAAAATTGATGCAGGTACGTCGATCCAGCGTCCCGGATCGATATCACAGAATGTCATAGCCGTCTTTGTTGGCTGCAGAACTATGACATTCCCTGCAGCCCCCCGCAACTAAGAAAAATCAAGGTACAGGTTTTACATCGATTGCAATGTTTCACACACTTGATCAGAACTGTCATTGCGAATTTTGTTGTGGAATGCATCTTACGTGCAAATACACCAGCAAGCAAATGATACAATGAAACTACATACGTAATATATATATAAATAAATAATAAATAAATAAATACATAAAGATCACAGTACACGTTGACATATAAAACAACAGCGATAAAATATAAGTCCCCCCCAGCTGCGACTTATATGCGCCCAGGGGCGGGACTTATATATACATTAAGCTGCAGGTACAGGAAACCGGCCACCTTTCCCTTCCCACTCATGTCCACAGCTTCGTTGCGTGTGGTAGGACATGAGTGCCACACGCTCTGCAAACTCCCCTGCATATTGATTAGGAAGTTTTACATCTATACAGATGGTACACACACACACACTTGCGAAGTCATGAAAGACAGTTTCTTATCATGAATGCAAAGTCTGATTACCTCATGGTAGGTTGAAGGCATCACTCGGCCATACCGAGTTAAAAAGGCCAAGCTTATCCGTTGACATTTGAATGTCTGGTTGTTTAAAAGAAAAACCGAGATTTCTCAATCGAACATGGTCAAGAAATGAATGAATGACGGCATGCAGGTTCTTGGGTTAGCCTGATCCCATGGAGTACTAACGGATACGGATATGACCACCAGCTATGACCCCAACATATTGGGTATGTCATCCAGGTGCATCATGCAGGTACGTTTTCACAACCTGAGGTGAGTGTCTTCATTGGCACAAGACTCACCAAAGGTCCTTGTGCCCCCTGCTATGAATTAAAGGCGCACCGATATCACTAATTTAT